AGCGGAGTCCCCTATAGACACGGGGGCAGCGCCTGCAGGAAGTGGGGACCCCATAGACGCGGGGGGCGAGCCTGCAGGAGTGGGGTCCCTTATAGACATGGGGGGGCTGTGCCCACAGAGACTGGGGTCCTCGGACAGGGAGGGCTGAGCCTACAGGAAGTGGGGACCCATAGACACTGGGGGCTGAGCCTGCAGGGACTGGGGGAACCTCAGAGGCACTGCGGCTGAGCCTTCAGAAATTCGGGGACAGATACCGGGGTAGAGATTGAGCCTGCAGGAGTGGGGTCCCTTATAGACATGGGGGGGCTGTGCCCACAGAGACTGGGGTCCTCGGACAGGGAGGGCTGAGCCTACAGGAAGTGGGGACCCATAGACACTGGGGGCTGAGCCTGCAGGGACTGGGGGAACCTCAGAGGCACTGCGGCTGAGCCTTCAGAAATTCGGGGACAGATACCGGGGTAGAGATTGGGGACCTGCAGAGATCTGGGGGGGTGAGCCTGCAGGGATTGGGGGACACCCAGACACACAGGTGCCTGAGCCTGCAAGTTCTGGAGATATCCCCCAAGGTGTGTGTTATAGTAGCATTCAGGGGCTTCAAGCCCTCAGTGTGCTTTGCCCTGTACAAATGCAGGGTAAGAGATGGCTGCTAGCCCCAGAAAGCCCTGACCCTTGTGAGACCCCCCCTCCCCCCCCAGGTTATAGATAACATAGATGGGAATTATTCTTACCAACCCTGCCAAGGGAGAGGAGGAGCTAGAAGCAAAACATTTCTCTTCCAAGCCAGGGGTAGGATCCTGTGTCACAAAGAGCAACTGCACCTATATTCCCCGATGGTGATCCCTCCCGCCGTATTTCTTCAGCTGAGCCCCATATTTCTCCCCATTGTGACCAGGGGATCTTTAAAGGCTCTACAGTTCCCTACATACATTGTAATATTCCCAGCAAGCAAAACTTGCTACAAGATCAGCATCTATACTTTGATTTGTGTCCAAAGGCTATGCCCACTCTTGTAAGCTACTACTACATAGAGCTTTTGAGGCAAGCAGATGCCAAGTGAAAACATTATAGAGAAAACACATTAATGACACTAGAAAAGACTACTCATGCTAAAAAGCTTAGCAGAATCACTCTTTTTCCAACTTTAAAACCCACATCTGGGATTTCTCATGGTTACATGTTCATAAGTTTAAGAACCAGAAACCAGGCTGTGCAGAGCAGCTGTTTTTTTTTATACAGCTCATGCCTTTCATCTTGGCCATTGTTCTCTGGGATCCCTCGAATTGAGTAAGATTTCCCCTTGGACGCCTATAACTGATAAGCATGAGGATGAGAAATTAGGCCAATTCTGGCAAGGACACTCTCTTGCAGTGGCTTCATGTGAGGTCTCTATCTCCATCGGCATGTGTGGCTGAGCATGCTCCTTTCATCAGGCTGTCTGATCTTCATGGAGACAATGCTTGATCTCAAAGTGTTGGGCACCATTCTTGATGGTGGTCCTCCATGTTACTTGATTCTTCACCTGCCTCTCCTAAGTGTCAGTTTCAATGTTACACTTTACCAAATGTTACTTGATTCTTCACCTGCCTCTCCTAAGTGTCAGTGTCAATGTTACACTTTACCAAGGTGTTCTTAAGGACATCTCTGTAGTGTTTCCTCTGCCCGTCCATGAGACCTCACCCGTGTCCTCAGCTGAGGCCTTTGGTAACATGTAATCAACACAGACTTTCCTCAGAGTATAGCTTCAAAAGGCTGTAGTTTTGCATAACGACTGGAGTAATTTGCATTAATTTCTCCCTATGGAATCCCTAGGAAATTCACTTCACACGCAATTGTCCCAAAAAGTCCATACTTGTCTGGCACATTAGCCTTTTGAATCCCTCTGTCTCACTATCACATCTTTCTCCTCCAGAGCTTACATACAATCTCAGCTCATAAGAGCTGAGATCCAAAGATAGTTAAATTTATTCAATAAGATCTCATGAGGTTATGACAGGAAATATTGGTCACACACCCCTGCATTTTTTCCTGCAGCTCCACCCCTACTTTAACCACAGCATAGGGGTGGCTTTTGCACATACATGCACCGTAGAGACAGATGTGACCAAGGGCAGATTAATGTATGGAGAACAACTTTCTAGGATAGCTAAGACTTCAAGCAGTGGCACCTCCTAGCGACTGATTGGTTTCATGGAGGAGAACCTAAGATAAATTCTTTCAATCCAAATAACCCAAGTTGCCGCTTTGTTTCAAAGTTTCCTTGCTTTGCTGACATTTTGACCCTGTATTTGAGATCTGCTTAGCAATTAAGATATAAGGTGTCATTAGGATTAAGTTAATTATGATTTGAAAACTGAACAAATTTAGGATTTGGAGCCAGAAGGTTTTCAGAGATGTGCTGTTACTCATCAGCAGAATATTAAAAATGCTGATTCAAATTCTTATGTACACTGTTGTTGCTAGAATGCAAGTTAGGGCTGAATTTGATCCTACATGTTCCCTTGAAGACATCCCTCATAAATTATAGGTATGCACTGAAAGTTTCAACTTTGTAATTTTCTCTATATCACTAAAAAATCATCATCTGATGAAGTGGATTTTATCCATGAAAGCTCATGATACTGTTTTTGTTAGTCTCTATGGGCACGTCTACACAGCAGGGCTAAAGCCAAAATAAGCTACGCAACTTGAACTACGTCAATTGCGTAGCTTAAGTTAAAATAGCTTATTTCAACTTTTGGCACTGTGTACACAGCAGGAAGTAAGTCCGAGTTAGAGCACTCTTGCTCTGACTTCCCTTATGCCTCATAAAATGAGGGTTACAGGAGTCAGAGTAAGAAGTCCTTCAGCTCAACATTATTTTGACATGATGTCAAAATAACTGCTTGCTGTGTAGACATAGCCTACTGGTTGTTTAAAAAAAATATTGCATTTTACATTCTCTGATTAGTTCACATTAATGTTATCAGATTTGTTAAGTATATGGTACACCTATTTAGAACACAGTTGAAACTGGCCCCACATTACACATATTCTGATCGATATAACACAGAAGTGGGCAGTAATTTTTGATGGCGGAGCCTCTCCAAGAATTTGATAAACGGTCAAGGATTGCGTTCTTCCATATTAATGGAGGAGGTGGGGGGTCTGGGATGGAGGTTGAGTGCAGAAGGAAGCTTAGGGCCTGGGATGGAGTGCAGGTGTGGGTTCTGGGAGAGGATACGGGTTTGTGTGCAGGAAAGGATTTTGACCTGGACAGGTTGAGTGCAGAAGGAAGCTTAGGGCTGGGGATGGAGTGCAGGAGACGGTGTGGGTTCTGGGAGAGGATACGTGTTTGTGTGCAGGAGAGGATTTTGACCTGGAGAAAGCGTGTAGGAGGGGGTGCAGAGTCTGGGAGGAGTTTGTGACCAGGGGCACAAAGTGCAAGATAGGGTGTGGGGTCTGAGAGGGGATATGGGTATCAGTGCAGGAGAGGATTTTGACCCGGAGAAAGGGTGTAGGAGGAGGTGCAGAGTCTGGGAAGAGTTTGTGACTAGGGGCACAAAGTGCAACATAGGATATGGGGTCTGGGAGGGGATATGGGTATCAGTGCAGGAGAGGATTTTGACCCGGAGAAAGGGTGTAGGAGGAGGTGCAGAGTCTGGGAAGAGTTTGTGACTAGGGGCACAAAGTGCAACATAGGATATGGGGTCTGGGAGGGGATATGGGTATCAGTGCAGAAGAGGATTTTGATCTGGAGGAGGGGCACAGGAAGGGGTACACAGTCTGGGAAAGAGCTGTGACCTGGAGCAAGGGTGCAGGGGTTTGAGTTGTGAGCTGTGAATTGGATGCAGGGTCTGGGAAGAGGTATGGATGCAGGATAGGGATGTAAAATCTTGTTTAATTGGTTAACTGGTTAAACATATTGGTTAACCAGTTAACTGATTAAAGGGGAGGTGGGCTGGGGGCTGCTCCAACCAATCTGTATGCAAATATACTCTTCCCCTTCTTTGGTGGAACCCAACATTGCTTAGTAGTCCTTCCTCCCAGAACAACATCCCATGGTCAATGATGCCAAAGGTTTCCAGCATCACCCATCCACCCAGGCAGGTATTCAGCTCCAGGATGCATCTGTCTCTGCCTGAGTCCCAACTACTGACTAGAAGGATGAAAGAGAACAGCACTTGCCAGGGCACCCTGCAGGCAGGGGCTATTTATCCAAGCTAGAGCAGTCCTGCCTGCAGGTGCTGTTCTCTTTCATCCTTCAGGTGCCTTGGCAGGTGCTGTTCTCTTTCATCCTTCTAGTCAATAGTTAACCAGTTAAACAGTTACATCCCTAGTGCACAAATGGGGTCTAGTCAATAGTTAACCAGTTAAACATTTACATCCCTAGTGCACAAATGGAGTGCAGAGGGTTTGGGTTATGTGGGGCAAGGGTGCAGGAGAGGCAGCAAACAGTTGAGAGAGGGTGCAGGCTCTGGCCAAGTGGTACATATCTTAAGTGGCTCCCTGCCAGCAGTCCAGTGGGAACATCAGGCAGGTTCCCTGCCTTCCATGCTTCCCCCCCTCCCCTCCCGCTCTCTCCCCCTCCGACGCTCAAAGTGACCAGCTGTGGGGCCATGTGTTCCCTGCGCACCATGAGCTAGTGGAGGGCAGGGCACAAATGTCCCACACCGCCTGAGCCGCAAGCCCCAGGCAGCTCCCATTGGCCAGTTTTCAGCC